TTTTGTTAGCACTTTGAACTAACGTGCGGTAGATTTTCGTCCCACCGTATTTTTGACCTGCTGAGAAGGCATTTCGAGCAGTCGTTGTGAAATTCTGTTTTTGCGAAGCAAAGATAGCGGGATTTCTACTGCAGTTTGCAAAAAATCGCACAAAATTTTTCTTGGATCAAAAAGAATTAGCAAGTCGTTGTACACTTCTCGATGTAGAACTGCTGGCAAGAAATAAAAGGATGGAAGGATTTCACCTGAATGTCATGTGTATGAAGATATTTTATGATGCAATTTGTGTTTCATCCCTTAGCTATATACACAGACCGAACTATGCATGCGGGTAGGAGCGGGAAACATCAGTACAGCCTCCTACCCGCCATGTATTGAACGGACATGCAACTAATTTGGAAGACGGATTAGCGAAAGAAAGTGATATAAGGAGCAAATAGAGTGAGAGAAGAAAGAAAGTAAGTTAACACGTAATCATTACATGTAATTATTAGTAAGAGTTTTTTTACAAGAATAAACTGCTGACTAGGCGTTTAATTTCTAAATCATCAGGGAAGATGAATTTGCTCAATACTGATCGGTTCCTGAAGCAGAATCTGAGAACGGACCGTTCTAGTTTGACAGTATCAGACTTTTTTGCCTGTAGATACTTATAAGCTGTCTAATCCATTGATAGGACACCTCTGGAAGAGAGTCTGTACGTGCATAATGAAGAAGTTGCGATATAATGACACCTTCTTGCACCGTTTGTCCATATCACTATCTGGACACGCTCCGTGATTTACGGTGAACGGGTAGTTTAAGGTCTTATTGTGTACACTGAAAATGCATCTACCTCTTGGCAAGAAGTTGAGGTCAAATAAACTGCGGAAGTGCATGTTCGTCACGGAGTTTGTGCGATTATGGCAGACTAAGGAATCTCATATTTGCTGCTCAAATTGCATGAGTACCATGCGGTAATCCGGTCGGTCCACGGCGACTTTCCTCTTTTTTGCTACATCATCAGTCCAGTTATTTTCCCCAGTCAACAGTCTCTTACTGTATTCTTCAATGAATACAGGAAGGAAGTATGCCCGTATCCATAACAACAGACAAAGAGGAAGCCTTCGTCAGTTGTAGTTTTACTGCTGAAAGGTGATATATGTTTGTTTTAGAGAGTTACGATGAAAAAAACATGGGGTTGCAGGGTCGCACGAAACGCCGCATGGGTTGAAATTTGAAGAGCCGGGCAAAGTGATCACTGTTTCGATACTTGAAATGCCGATCATCTTGCTACCGACGCAACTTCTTCCATTCCACACCGATTATCCATTGCTCGTTTCACAACTCCGGCAAGCAGCCAGAGAAAACGAATACATTGCACTGAAGCCGAAAGTAGAAACGCTGGAAACCGATATAGCCACTTTGATCCAGGTTTTCAGTTCCCACTACTTGAAGTTCTGCATTCCCAAAAATTACAAACTTGGAATTGAATTTCTACACATGAATTTGCTTTCTGTTGAGGGAGCAGTGTTTGAAAACATTACTGACAATAACCGATCCTTTAATCGGCGGTTTTGACCAGTTGTCCTCTCGGAACGACGCACCTTCAAAACATCAACACATCCGAAAATTTTTTCTAATTCATTGTGAAAGTGGCTGATTTTTATGCGTTTTGTGCTGTGTAACAGCAGTACAAAACGCATATTGTTACGGGGTTGTC